GCTTTTCCTATTGGTAATGAGTTAAATTTAAATAGAACCTAATTAAATGTCACATATCTTTAGCCTATTACAGCTGAAAGTTTTTTAAAAATTAATCAATCAAAACATACTATCTCTTATATTACTTTTCTTTAAAATCTTGGATTTATCTAAATTATTTCTTTATTATTTTATAATTTTAAGTTTGAATGGTTTTCCAGAACTTTCTTAGTAATATACTTCTACATCTTTCATTTTTATTATTTTTATTAAGCTTGATAAGAGATTACATTTAAGGCTTTAGAATAAGCATTATTAAAATTTTAGGCCGCCAGCGTATCGTTAATTATCCGACGATATTCATAGTTTATGACATATCTTAAACAGATGTCATGTGATGTCAGGCATTATTACTGATCCATTTGAACATATATAACAAATATTTAATTATACATTTTAAGACTAGATATCAAAGTTTATAATAGGCAAAAAATTATTTTTTAAATATAGCAATAAGTCACAGAAAAACTTAGTTACTTTTAAGAATACCAAAAAACGAAAATACTTTTGCATTCTAACAGTATATATATTGTATTTGTTTGTTATATTAATTGAGATCAATATATAAAACTATTGATGTTTTTATTTATGATTTATTTGTTTGTTTTTTTCTGCTAACAAATTGTTGTCTACTGTCAGCAAAATTTTTTAGTTGATTTTTTTTAAAATAAAAAGTTTATATTAAATTTACAAACAAACAAACAAAATAACTAATTAATTAATTACTATTGTATGAATTAATAATATACTTAAACATTATAATAGTTTTGTTATGTAAATATTGCATTAACAAAATTACATTTACTTAAATATATATACATAGTTTATACTGTACACATTATTTATTTAGCTATTATCTGTATATATATATAATAATAATAATAATAATAAATTTCTTAAGATAACATTTATTATTATTATTATTTTTAATGCAATTATATTAATTTTTAATTAAATAAAATTAGTATATGAAAATATTATATATATATATATTTGTAGATATTATTCATAAAAATAATCGCAAATATTTGGATATAGAAAACTAATTTGAATTTATTTACTTATTTTTTGATAATTTATTGAATAAAATTTAAACAGTTTTTTTTCATAAAAAAATAATTATTTATTTTTATTGTTTATATTATATAACAATAGTATACTTACTTTAATATAATAATTTTTGTATAAATGTCTTTTAGATATTTAGATATATATATTTATGTAAAAATAAGTAGTTATCGGTGACAGTTATCGCAAGTTTAGGACATAATATTATTTTATTTATTTATTATAAAATATTACAACTAATATTAATAATTATTCATGACATTTGAAGATAATTGTCTAAATAAATAAAAAAAAAATATTTACACACAATTATATTGTTGCTTAATATCATAAAAATTATATCAATAATTGTTTTTGTTGTTGTTATTATTATTGTTAAAATAATCCAGATAATTTATTACAAATCAAATAAATAATGTTAACATATAAATCAAATTAGTTCATATGAAATCAAAACTTTATTAAATATAATATTATAAATTTAAAAAATAAAATATTTATTAATCATTTAATTATTAGAATACAAACATAATTACAATTGACATTCAAAATCATTTGTTTTAATTAACAAAAAAAATACAAAATTTAAAATATAATTTATATAAATATAATAAAGTTTTTGTTTGTTTTTTTTTATTTCTCTCTATTTTATTGTTTTGTTTGTATATATATATATATATTCTACAGAATATTCTGTACAATCACTAACTAACTGACTGACTGACTGAAGCAATCACTTTGGGCTACAGTTTGCCCGCCAAATGTTATACCAAAATGCTTAGACATACAATCACACACACACACACACACACACACACACACACACACACACACACACACACACACACACACACACACACACACACACACACACACACACATACATACATACACATATATACACACTCTCACACAGACACACACATACATACACACACATACATACACACACACATACACACACATATATACACACATACACACATACACACACACATACACACACACACACACATACACACACATACACACACATACATATAGTTGTGATGATGTATATCTATAGAGATGCTACGTTTAGAGCACAGTTAGATGCGAGTGCGCTTTGTAGACATTAGCAATAATAACTTACTAATAATAAATAATATTGTCTATAATAAAAACCGTAACCTGTTTTTTGGTCACAATTACCATTGAAATTGGTTATCGGTTTTATGTATTTTTAAAAAATTGGTAATTTAGTATAAAATTAAATAAATTAATAAAAAATATTTGGTTAATTGTAAAATGTTAAATGATAATGTTAATTTAACCCACATTGTAGAGTATTGTTTTATTTATTTAAGTGATTTATTTTAAGTTTTTTTGTATAAATATTTTTATTTTATGTTTCGGTTTTATTGGTTACATTATATATATAGTTATATAAAGTAATTATATATATATACAGTATAAGTCTAGTCTATAATTATTATTATCTGTAAACTACATACGCTTACAGTATAGTCCAACTCATTAATTGATTCAATCTTTATATAATTACTTTAAGACATTGAGAGAGAGAGAGAGAGAGAGAGAGAGAGAGAGAGAGAGAGAGAGAGAGAGAGAGAGAGAGAGAGAGAGAGAGAGAGTATAATACAAAAAAAATAAATAAAATGCATTAATTAAAAACACAAAAATTAGTGTCTGACCTTTAATTTAGTTTTTTTTAACTTTTATTTTCTATCTTAACATTAAATAAAAATGTTGTTATATATAATTATGCTTGCTTAGTTAACAAAACATAATAATGTCTATTACAATGTATTGTATAAAAAAAAAGTAAAATCGGTCAATTTATTAATTAATCAGGATAGATTTTTATTTTAATTATATTTATATTAGTTTTTTTAGTTAGTTAGTACACAAATAGTTAGTAATATAATATATTAGTTTTATTTTGTTTAATTGTACAATAATTTGCAATTTACTTTTGATTAATTAATTAATTAAATAACTATTTAACTAAAATTACATAATTATTAGTTTTATTTAGTTAATTATTAAATTATGTTTATAATTTATATTTCTAATATACAAATTTATATTTTATTTTTTTTTAATTAAATTATAATTAAATTTATTATTTAATTAAAAATAATTATTAATTTTTTTTTGGTATTAGATCATAGATTTTTCTATTAAAAAAAATAAATAAGTAAACTATGGCCATCTTTTTATTATTATTATTAACAAATATAGTTTTATATAAATAAAGTTTACATATTTTTTAAGTAAATTTTTATACTTTAATAAATAAAAACATTAGATGTCGACACTTTAATCATAAAATAACTAAATAGACCATGTTGATTTTTTTAAAAAATAATAGATTACACTACAGTTATCATTAGTTAATATATATATATATATATATATATATATATATTAGATGCCAATATTTTAGTACAGATATTAGGTATTAATTTGTATATTAATTTAAATGAATTTATAGTTTTTAATTATTTATATATATTTTTATAAATTATTTTAATTAATTAGATAAAAATTTAATAGTTTTAGTTAAAATATTTTTATATATTTATAAATTCATTGAATTATAAATACTTCTAGAATGTTTAAATTTATAATTATAATATTTTTAGTTATAATATATTACTAATATATACAGTAAATATATATATAGTTTATTTAGAAATAAATACAATATTTTATAAATAATAATAATATTTTTAATTGTATTTAATATTATTTTAAAAAAATAATAATTTTTGATTAAGAGTATTAAATTAGATAAAATAAATTATTTATCAATAATCAAAACATGTTATTATTATTATTATTTTTGGTATAAATTTTGATTGACTTTATTGAGTATTAAAATTTTACAGTAATTTTTATTTAAATAATTGAATATTTTTACGAATACTTTTTACTATATTTTTTGTTAATTTTCAATTACAATATTACAGTACATCTAATAATAATAACAATATCAAGTTTTTTTACAATTAAATATTTTTTTACTTTAAAAGTTTTTTTTAACTTAAAATGATTTTAGAGCTAATCAACAAAAAAATAATAATATAATAATTTGTACTCTAATTTATATATAATAAAATTTAGTAAATATTTTAGACAATAATTATATATATATATTTATTTATTTTAAAAAGTGTTTTACTGTATTTTTATTTTTATTGTGCTAAGTGTTCACTCAAACTAAATATTTAATATAATAATAATAATAATTAAAACAAAAACAATTGATAATATTATTTAAAAAATTTTACACAAATATCTGAATTATTTTTTTAGTTCAAAAAAATAAATACCACTATATTATAATATATATATATATATATATTAAATAATATTTTGATAACAATAAATGACAGCGATATATATACAGTATTATAACTGTATAAATATAAAGTTATATATATTTATTAATATATATATATATATACAATATTACAAATTATTAGCAGGCAACAAACAAACAGAAAAATTATTAATAAAAAATTTTTAACTAAAAAATATTAAAAACAATTTTTAACTAAAAAATATTAAAAACAATTTTTACTATTACTATTCATACAGCTATTCACAAAAAACAACACAAAAAACAATTGGTGTTAAAACTATATGTTTTTAATTTCAATAGATTTTACCCACAAATAAAATTTGTGTAAAAAAACTTTTTTTTTTGGTATCAATACTACACTTAAAAAATAATAAATTATTTTTTTTAAATCAAAAAAAAACAAATTGATTATATAATAATAATAATAATAATTTGATTGTCGGCTAATAATCTGTAAGATATTGTTGTTGTTGTTGTTGTTGTCGTTGATGTCGTCGCCAATCATACGACCGTTTCTTTAGCAAACCCAACGCCCGGCTTAGTTGGCGCTCCCGATCAGCGATCATAGACTTCAAATAGATTAGCCGATTATAGTTATCCGGGTTATTGTTGTTGTTACTGTTGTTGATGATGTCCCCCCGTTTACCGTATCGGTAGGGCATACGCAACGGCGACGACGATCGGCCGGCAGCCGACGATCCTGCGGGCGATCCGTCCGACCCGTCGTAATCCAGATCCTGTAGCTGTTCCGGTGCCGACCTAACGGTGCACACGTTGACTAGTAATATGATAATTACTAGCGCTATGGACAGTAGCGATGATACATTGATTTTCATATTATTATTATTAGTAGTATTAGTATTATTGGTATTAAATTTAGTAGTAGTAGTAGTGGTAATAGTAGTAGTATTCAGGTGTCTATTATGGTATCCAAACATGTTTTTTCCTCAAATATAAAGTTAATATCTGTTTGAAAAATATATAATATTTTTATTGATATTTATTTATTTTTTTTTAAATAATAAATATTTGAAATCATAAGAATATTCTTTAATCTATATATTATGAGAATATTTGTAAAAATATAAATTTTAATAGTAATAGTAATAATAATAAAAATAATAATTGAATAGTTTGTATAAATGTTTGAAAAATAATAATATATTGTATGCTTTATATTCCCAAAGCGATACCCCTCTCATCAAAAAATTTATATTATATTATATATATACTGTATATTATATATACTGTATATTATTTGCATACTTATATTGATTTACTATCATTGAATTGTGCAATATATATATATATATTGTATTATATAATTTTTATATAATTTTTTAAAAATAATAGTTTACATTATTATTATAATTTTGACAATAATTGATAACTTGAAAGATAACCTGTAATTTGTTGCTATATTTATATATATCCACTGAATGTGTTTTAAATAGTATAGTATAGACACTAAAATTAGATACAGTTTATTAATTGATTAATTTTTTAAAATTTAAATATGATGATGTTTGATAATGATAATTGTATGCTGATGATGATGATGATGACCCAGGTATTTTATATTTATAAACTAAATTAAAAATAAACTAGATAGTATTGTATAGAAAAATGTTATGCATTATTATTATTATTAAAAAATAAACTATACTAGAAAATAAATAACAATTTATATATTATATATAAATACAGTTTCTAATAAACTTATATTTTTTAAATAATAATAATATAATTATTATTATTTGCATATCAATTAAACAATGTCTTCAAGTCTATTAAAAGCTAATTATTTAGTTATTTATAAATATATATAGAAAAATTCAAATTATATTATCAATATAACAACAATAACAACAAAAACATATGAATATACTATACATAAGTCATAATCACATGATTGCTATTATAATTTTAATTTGAAAAAAATATAGTTATATATATCTATTGACTGATTGACTAACAAAATACATTTCAAAACACACATAAAAAACAATGTGATTCATGTAATTCATGTGTCCATCATATGATATATGATATTATAATGTTGAAAAATATATATATACTGTAGTCAACAGTTATTATTTTATTTTGTTATATATATAAATACATCAGTATGTTATGTAGTAATTATCAAATCAATAATTAGAGTTATTAAAAATACATATATATATATATATATTTATATAACATGTTATACATTATGTATTATTATTTTTTATATGTCTTTATTGATTTTAATTGCATAGAATTAAAATTTATTTCATCTATTTATCACGTTTTTCCTATTAAAAGTACATTAAATATACTGTATATATATATATATTTGAAAATAATAACATACAGTATTGTAGTGACAATTTTATTTTTGAAATAAGTCTATAGTTTATAGAAATTAATAAAAATAAAACTATATAATACTTTATATATGTGTGTGTGTATGTGTGTGTGTGTGTGTATGTGTGGGTGTGGGTGTATGGGAGGACAAAGAGGTACAAACTATATAACACTACAATTATTATATATATATATATATAAAAGTTTTTATAAACTGTTAGCTTATGTCTAAAAGTTTGTTTAACAAAAATAAATATTTAATTGAAAATATTTATAATAAAACTATATAAATATAACTATTCATTTGTGTCACAATTTAATTAGATATTTACATATTTAAATAAATAATATATATATTAATTTATAGTTGAATTATATAATATGTTACTAATACCTGTATATTATTTTATATGAAAAAAATATTATTAACCATTAAAAATATATAGAATTTTTTTAATTTATAATTTTTGAAATTATTTTACTAATTATTTTTATATTGAAAACAATTTTGCAACAATAAAACTAATATGTAGTCTAATATCTATTCATATATTAATAAAAATATATTACATATCCGTAAATAATAAAATATATATTTCAAGTAATTAATTATACTATTATTTGTCTGACTAAACATACAGTTATATATTTACATTAATAATTTATTTATATTTTTTTAAAAAATATAAAAATAAATAAAATAAAAATTCAATTTGCCGTATATATTGAATATATTGTTTGTTTTATTATTATTATTATTTGAGACATTATTTTATTATATCTTTTAACTGAGTAAATATAAAGTAGAGCTTTAATATAAATTATATGAGATTTTTTGTTAGTATAAATTATAAAATAAATAAATATTAAATTATGTATCTTTTATATTACAATATATAATAGCTATTATATATATATATACTGTATATAAAAGTTATAGGAATGAAGTGATATATATATAATATAATGATAAAGATTTTTAAAAATATTTATAAAATATAATATTTATGCAGTTTATATAATATACAGTAATATATACAGTATATATAATATATATAGTATATATATATATATATGAATAAATATGTTTACAAAATAATATTATTGACAAAACAATACGATTTAATATTATTTTATTTGAAATTTTTAATGTTATTTGATTTTTTGAAAATGTTTATTTAAATTTTATACGATAAATATTTTTCAATAAACATAATTTTAATATAATAAAATTTTAGAGTTTTTAAATAAGATAAATAAATTTTGAGTATTGCATTCAAAACAGTTTACTAATTAACTTCAATTAGTAAATTAAATTTATAATTTTATGTAAATACTGTATTAAAATATTGTAAAAATGTTAAAAAAGGATTTTTCTGTATATTAAAATATTTTATTAAATTAAATATTTTATATACATTTTTAGTCGATTATTACATTATGATATTACATTAAAACTAGATATTTATAATTAACAAACAAAATAATTAGCAATAATAATAATAATAAGTGTCTAGTAATCATAAATACAATTGAATTGAATAATCAGTTAACCCCTGAAGGGATTGGATTGAAAAAAATATTTATTATATTATATCAGAAAAATATATTATATATAAAAATTGAAATTTTAATATAAATTTTTTATCTATATAATTGACATTATTTTTTTACTATTTGTTTATTTTTATTTTCTATACTAAGTTATTATTATTATTTTTAAAGTAAATTATATTTTTATATATTTTATTATTTGTGTTGTTGTTTTTGATTAGCTTAACTTGTTGATTTTTATTTTTTACAATTTACCTAGTTAAAAGCTAATCAAATACAAACAAACATATCAAAACACATAATACAGTTTTATATTACATATTTATTTAAAAAAATAATATTTACCGTATATGAACCGGATATAAAAATTTAATATAATATGATTATTAACAGTATATATAAATGTGATTATTATTATATATAATAATGTATTTTATAATTTATCCAAAAAAATAAATATTATACAATTTATATGATGAATACACATATGATTCCTGGAAAATAGTTTATATGTATATTAAATATATATATATATATTTTATATATTATTATATATATATATATTATAAATATTATATATATATACCTGTAGTATATTATAGTAGCAAAATATACATAAATATACAAAATAAAATAAAAATTATGAAAACAAATTAAATATTCATATGAATACAAATACAGTATATATATATTTGTATTAAAACATAATATAATATAATCAACATATAAAACATACAGTAGGAGATAATAATAATAATAATAATAATTATTATTATTATTATTATTATTATTATTGTAATACCAAATAACTAATATTGATTTAAAATAGCGGTTATCATCTCTCTAGAGGCTAGACATCTAAAAAACACAAATATATATATATTTAAAAAAACATATATAGAAATATATTGTATATAATGTACAGTAATTGTTATTATAATTAGTTATATATATATTGTTGATATTACTATCAATTTACTGTATATTATTGTTAAATTGTTTGATTATATACTTTATATTTTGCATATATCTTATATAAATATATATATATATTCTTAAATAAAATAAATATTATGATTTTTTTTATTTATTAGGTGTGAGTAAATACTGTATATATATTTTTTTCTAAGCAATTAGTATTACAATATACAGTATATACTGTATATTACATAATATATAAGGATATATATCTATTTATATATTGATTAAAAAAATGTCTTTTTAAAAATAAATTGAAAATTAGTGTATCTATGAAAAGATTATTTTTTTTAATTAGTTTTTTTTGTTTATTTCATTATTGCTATTAAATTATAGTATTAATAATCATATTTACAGAAAATTTATTGCATTAAAATTATATCAATTATTATCATTATCATTAAACTGCATAAAAATTAATAAATTATTATATTTTAAATTTTTAGTTTAAAATATCATAAATACATTTTAGGAAAAAAATATAATAATTTAATAATATAGAAAACTTTTTTTTTAAATAATGCATAAAAAATTACTATATATTTTATGTTAATTTGAAAAATTAGTTTTTTTATAATATATTTTTTTAATATATATTTTATATTATAATATATTTAAAATATGTTTAGTGCTTATATTTTAAAATACATTTGAAAACGTAATAATAATAATTAACTTATAAAATACAGTATATTATTCAAGTTTTTTTATTGTTAAATATCTTCAAAAAAAATTAAATTAATTTATTCAATTTAAAGTATGAAATTTTATTTTATTTTTTAAAAATCATTAATTGTATGATAATTTGCTATTTATTTTCTAATTAATTGACAACTGTTGTAACAATTGTATTAATATTATAAATGTTTATAAAAATTTTTGATCATTTTTTTTAGTTAATACTAATAATTATTTAAATTTATGCTAAATTTGTTTATTTGTGATATATAGTTTT